ACTGAGCGACTGAACTGAACTGAAGAGGGTGAAAGAAGAGAATGAAAAAGCTGGCTTAAAACTCAATATTCAGAAAACTAAGGTCATGGCATCCAGCACCATCACTTCCTGTAAACAGATGGGGAAAAAGTGGAAACAGTGACAGATTTTATTTTTCTGGGCTCCAAAATCACTGTGGACAGTGACTGCAGCCATGAAATTAAAAGACACTTGCTCCTTGGAAGAAAAGCTATGACCAATCTAGACAGCGTATTAAAAAGCAGAGACATCACTTTGCCAGCACAGGTCTGTCTAGTCAAAGCTGTGTTTTTTCCAGTAGTCATGTATGGATGTGAGAGCTGGACCATAAAGAAGATAGAGCGCTGAAGAATTGATGCTTTTGAAATGTGGTACTGGGGAAGACTCTTGAGAGTCCCTTGGAAACTCTCAAAGAGATCAAACCAGTCAATCCTGAGGGGAATCAACCCTAATGTTCACTGGAAGGACTGTTGCTGTTGCTGAGGTTGAAGCTCTAATACTCTGGCCACCTGATGAGAAGTGCTGACTCACTGACAAATACCCTGATGCTGGGAAAGATTGAGGGAAAGAGGAAAGGGGATGACAGACAATGAGATGGTTGGATGGACATGAGTTTGAGCAAACTCAGGGAGATGGTGAAGGACAGGGAAGTCTGTTGTGCTGCAGTCCATGGGATTGCAGTGTTGGATGTGACTTAGCAACTCAACAACAACAATCCTTGTGCTGTTCTAGAAAGCTCTGCCCAGTCCCAGTCCTGACGTCCTTTGTTGTTGTTCAGTCATGTCCAACTCTCTGTGACCCCATGGACTGCAGCATGCCAGGCTCCACTGTTCTCTGTGTCATTGTGGACAGCATTATAAGTGAGCTAGGCAATCAAGCAAAAACAAGTCACCTCCCAGCTTGCCCTTCTACAAAATGGGCCTACATGGGTTATTTCCAACAAGTTTAAAGGATAGTAGAGATCTCTGAAATCATTAAGACAGACCAACAATAGTCAAGTCAGTGACTAAAGGCACCAGGGCCAAGCATTCAGTTTCAGTAATTACATATCCTCTGGTGATCACTAATAAAATATTTTTATGGGACTTTTTTTCTTAAACACACTTTTTTTTTTTCTTTTTTTAAAATTATTTTTTATTGGAGTATAGTTGCTTTACAATGTTGTGTTAATTTCTACCACATGTGTGCAAAGTCACTTCAGACTCTTTTTGACCCTATATACCATAGCCCACCAGGCCCCTCTATCCATGGGATTCTTGAAGCAAGAACACTGGGGTAGGTTGCTGTGCTCCTCCTCCAGGGGAACTTGCTGACCAAGGGGTGGAACCCACGTCTCTTACGCATCTCCTGCACTGGCGGGCGGGTTCTTTACCACTGGTGCCACCGGGGAAGCCCAGTTTCTACCGTACAGCAAAATAAATCAGCCATTAATTTACATATATCCTCTCCCTTTTGGGCTTTCTTTGCATTCAAGTGAGTTCAAATAGTTTTAAAAGAAGATAAACTTATTCTTTTAAAAAAGGCATTTACCTAGATCTTCATTCCCTAGAGCCTTTTTGACTGGTGCAGCATGTCCACCTAAGGTTGCTTGACCTCTTGACTGTCTTATCTACTGAGCTGGCAGGTCTGATTATCCACGTCTTCAAAAGTGTCCTTTCTGTGAGTTTCCTGTGCTATGTAGAATAAACGAGGCACGTTTACTGATGACATTTAGGGCCTCTCTCATGGAGTTCTTTCTACTCACAATGATTCTTTATTGTGTCAGGGATCAGGAGAATTCTCAGAATCCCATATTCCAGTTCTTTAGTAGGTTGGTCATTGAGTTCCAGGGGGAGAAGAAAAACTCTGCACAAAACACTGATCTATTAAGTAGGTCTGGCATTTAAAACAAACAAGCAATGCTGAGATCCGGATGAAGCTGACGCATGTGAGAACGAGGCAAGGGAGGCAGGTGCTGTGCAGGTAATTTAGGGTTTGTCTTTGCAACAGAATTTGGCTCATTTTAGATAAATAGGCCATCGGTATGAGCCATTATCCAGGAGAAATAAATAAAAACAAAGAAAGGTAAAATAAGAGGAAGTGCCACTGTATTTCATAGATCATCTGTCAGCTGTGGGAGGAGAGGAGGAGGAATTGGGGAAAGAAAACAGTCACTGCATTGTATATTCATTTGAATTTTCCAGAGAAGGGGATGCAATTCAGTATTTTCTCATTCTTCCTCTCCTTGACCTTGATGCTATTTTCTTGTGTCCCTTTTTCTATTTGTACAACGACCTTTGTTTTGTTTTCCTTTCACATTTGACCTCATGCTTCCTCCGTGGGGTTAATATTAATCCTCCATTCATGGCACTCTTTCAGGGCTCACTTGACCACTTTTAATAATAAGCATAAGATGTAGCCACATGTTTGTGTTTTTAAAAATACTTATTTGGCTGTGCTAGCCAGGTCTTAGTTGTTGCACGTGGGATCTTCCATCTTAATGTTACAGCATTAGGACTCTTGATTGTGACCTGTGGGAACTCGTTCCCTGACTAGGGATTGAAACTGGGCCCCCTGCATTGGGAGCATGGAGTCTTCATCACTGGACTGCCAGTGAAGTCCCTGTATCCACATTCTTGGAACTTGGCAATTCTGGTTTAGAGTGCCCAGATTTTCCATTTGAAGTCCAAAATTCTTGGGTGTTTCAGCTTCTTCTGGTTGGACCAAAATATGGTGGAGTCTATCGGTCATTTGGGAGCTGGTGGAATTTGTTTTTCCTCCCATTTTTTTTCGTAACTGGATGGTCGCCCTGGATCATGTGCGGCACTTCTTTTGCTGGTTGTGGGAGGGTGTGAAGCAGCTCCTGTTTCAGTGAAAACAGATGCCCAGAGATGCTTTTCCACTGGCTTTACTCTGCTTTTCTAGGGGGTGACCACCGCAGAATGAAGGGAGCTTGCAGACAGTGATGGTGTCGGTGACAGTCTGTTCCGTCTCCCCCAGCTCTGGCCCGACACAGCCTCTGGGTTGGTCTGAGGCACTTTGGGCGAGAAAATACTCAAAGGCATTTTTTAATCGTGTAAAGCTGAACATCATTCACAAAAAGTCATTACGGCAATTATTTACTGTTTATGTGCCAGGATCATAGATAACCACATAATTCTTTTTGAAAAAGATTTATCTGGCTGTGCCAGGTCTTAGTTGCAGCACACAGGATCTTCAATTTTTGCTGCGGTATGTGGGATCTTAGTTCCTTGAGCAGGGATCAACCCCTCCCCCACCCCCCCCCACCTCCGCATTGGGAGCATGAAGTCTTAGCCACTGGATCTCCAGGAAAGTCCCTTTTTCTTTTTAAGGAAGGGGAAACTCTGCTAACACTTTTAAAATCAGGAAAGATCTAACCCTTAGCTTAGAATTTTGTTGAGCTGAACTGTAAAGCACTCAAGGATAAGATTTTACCAAGATGTAAAATCCTGTTGATGGTGGTCTGCAGAGGGGAGCTGTACTTGAGGATGAGCTACAGTGATGCAGCAGGTAGGGATGAACCCCCGGGCTCTGGATCCAGAGCTTGTTGGCCTCGGCTTGAATCCTGGCCCTGCCAACTTGTTAAGTCTGGGCCTTTGGATGAGTTATGTATAAACTCCCTGTGCCTCACTTTCCTTATCTGCAAGATGGGAAAACAGTATCTACTTTAGTCATGTGGTTGTGAAGATTAAATGAGTTAATCTAATGAGCCGCTATCCAAGAGAACTTCTTGCGGTGGTAGAAATCCTCTCTTCTCTGCTGCCCAACAGTGCGGCCACCCGCCACATGAGCCCCAGGCACACAGGTAGCTAGTATGTCTGAGAAAAGGAAGAGGTTGTTTTATTTATTTTGATTTGAATTACTTCAAATTTAAGTTGCCCTACATGGCTAGGGAGGGCTTCCCTGGTGGCTTAGTGGTAAAGAATCCACCTGCCGACGCAGGAGATGCATGTTCGATCCCTGGGTTGGGAAGATCTCCTGGAGGAAGAAATGGCAACCTACTCCAGTATTCTTGCTTGGAAATCCCCATGGACAGAGGAGCTTGGTGGCCTCAGTCAGTCCATGAGGTCACAAAGAATCAGACCTGAGTTAGTGACTAAACAACAACGTGACTTGGAGCAACCATACTAGGCTTTACAGATTTAAAGCATTTACAACTGTGCCTGGAACTATGTGCTGTCTGCCATCACCACCCTGACACGGAGCACCAGGCATGCGTGTTCCCCCCGGCTCCCAGATAACACCACTGCAGAGTCTGCCATGGCCTGCTGTCACTGTGCACTGCAAGAACACTTTAACAATTTTTAATACAATTTTTTAAAAGTTGACAGGTTGTACTCTCATTTTTATTCAGTTCAAGAAAATTTCTTTTTTTGGTTGCCCAGCATGCAGGATCATATTTCCCCAACCAGGGATTGAACCTACACCCCCTGAAGTGGAAGCATGGAGTCTTAACCACTGGACTGACAGGGAAGTCCCAACTATTTTGTCAGTATCATCATCCCATCCCATCTTGAGTCTTTATAGCACTTACCACTATCTAAAATTAGGTCATTTATTGATCTTTCTTACGGGACTAGAATACAAGCTCCATGAGAACAGGGCTTTCTCTCTGTCCTCCATGATAATACTAGCATTCAGAGCATGGAATGCCTCCCTCTACTAATCTGAGCTGGCCCTTTAATAAGAAAGTGTTCTCTCCAGTTGAGAATTAGTGGTAATCTCAATCTCTGGTCTGACTCCCTCCTACCCCCTGCCACATTAGGTAGTGTATATTGTATTGGTGACATGAGAGGACTTGGAAATATCAATATTACCTTGTCGGGCATGAGGATAAGGCAGAGGAGGAAGCAGTCCTAGTTCATGTAGGCCTCTGGGAAGTTTGCAAATAAAAATGCCAGAAAACTCTCAAGCCACGTACAAAGGAAATATAGTTTAATTTCAGTGGGAGGGAAAGGGGGGCTTGTTGAGGACGCTCTGCAGAGCCTGTGACATACAGAATCCCACTGGGCACAGCTTACTGACACCTGGACAGTTAGTTCTGTTAGGGGCCGACTGTGTGTGTTTGCCAGCACTGACACGGGCACAGTGCCAAACCCGAAAGGTGGCTCTGCCCATGGGAACTGAGCTGGTTTCATGCTTTCTCACCTCTCCAGTGGAGGCAGAAACTCAGAAATTCAGGAAATGCTCATGCCGAGCTTTGATGATGGTTTTTCTGGTCCGTGATGGAACGAGAGAAAAAGGGCAATGTGGTGACTTTTCCATAAGGCTAAGTTTATTTGTTCAGAGGGTGTCTTTATTTTCATTTTAGAAATTCCCCATTCCATGAATTCTGCAGGCCTAGAAACCATTTGAGGAACCAAGAGGTTTATGGTGATGGCCAGGAGCTTAACATCATCATCGTCTTTTTTTTTTTTTTTTTAATAATTCAGTATTATGGAAGTTCACTTTATTTAACTGGGTGCCTTGTGTCTTAGTCGCGGCACCTGGGATGTTCGTTGCATCAGGTGGGGCTTTTTGTTGCTGCACGTGGACTTGCCAGTAGTGGCTCATGAGCTTAGTTGCTCCAAGGCATGTGGTATGACCTCCCTGACCAGAGATCAAACCCGCATCCCCTGCATTGCAAGGCAGATTCTTAACCAGTGGACCACCAGAGAAGTCCTCTCAATTCTGTCTTCTGATTTTTCTTTTGAAGTTTAGGAGGCCCATTACAACAGGTTGAGCAGCCATGCTTCCTTTTACATATGCGCTGAGGTTAAAGGTCAAGCCAGCATATGTTCTGAAGTGCTCACTGTGTACTCAGTTCTATGTCTACAGCTTACCAGGGATGTAAGGCTCAGCTGCCAGAGTACAAAGAAAACAAAGTATAGTTAAATCCTTGTGAGGATGCCAAGTCAGGGGCCAGGGGAAGGGTAACCCAGCACACAGCACCTGGAGCTCTTTCTTATTTACCTGCCTGTCTACCGTATGAGGCTTTGTGAATCCCAGACACAAAATGTGGGGGCCACATCCCAATCATTTTAGTGTTCCTAAATCACCGGGCACGTGGAGCTGCCTAAGAAACGTCGAGTGGCTGAGGCTGCAGTGACCTAGGTGGTCTCAAGAGGCCGGGACTGAAGCTAACCCTCAACGATAGGCAGGGTTTACACAGGATGAGGTGAGAACGAAGTTTTGAGAGTCACTGAGAGACCACTATACTATCCCACATGGAAAGAGCATGCCAGCGAGTGGTGGAAAATAAAGTCAGGTAGAAAAGTGAGGGCTGGATTGAGCTGCTTATTAAAAGTCGCTCAGAAAAGCTGAGCTGGAAGAGAAAGGAAATGGGGAGAAAGTTGAGTTTTTACCCATTAGAGCCAAAGTGCTACCAGAGGGAATTGAATCTGGCGGGGATGATGCAGCAGGGAAGGGAGGGGACGGGAAGGGCAGCAGCCATCCAGCCTGAGGTGCCAGGGACTCAGGGTGAACAAGGCCAACGGCAGAACCACCTTGTACCGAGGGCTCACATGCCAGGCGCTGAGCTACCCTGAGCTACAAACATTCTGAGGATTAGAGAGCCTCCTCATCTCTAACAGGGCTAGCAAACAAGCTGAAGGGGTAAAATGAGTTCCTTAAAGTCACTACTAGCCAGGGGCTGGGTTGGGTTTCATCCCTCTGACTCCACAGCCACACCCTTAGGTGAACTCCAAGGTTCTTGGCAGGTGAAGGTGAAAAGCATGCATGCCCTATGGGGGCAGAAGATCCTTTGCCCCATACTCCA